CCACTGTTCCTCGCTCTCTTCTTCCAGCTTCAAGTTGAACAGGCTCGTCTCCTTTCAACATGCTGGCTCGATGATTCAGCTGGGCACCTCGCCACTTTGCGTTTCCTTAAAAACTCGCCAGACAAGGTGCCTCATTTAGACAACAAAGAGAGAGAGGCACTCCGACTGTTGGAGGCCTGATCAAAGATGTCTAATCAGAGCTGTTTCCACTCAGACATGGTTTTTGATGCTGTTATGTAACGGTTTAGTTTTTTCTTTTTTTGTCTCTCCAGATCTTTTTCTTTTAATTTGCTGTGGGGATGACTGTTTGCTTTTTCAGAGGCTGCAAACCAACAAATAGCAAATTTAAAAAAAATTAATTCACACCACATTATGATAACTGTGTGGAAAATGTACTTAAATAACATCAAACCAGTATGTATATATGCTAATGTCTCCCAAACTGTGCACTTCACTGACACAGCACAAACATATCTGTTTCCCCTCTTTGTTCGCCATTGATTGGGTTAAATCCCTCCGTGATTGACAGCTGGTGTCCGTCCCGCCTCTCGTACCGCTCACGATAATGGCCTCCGGTCCCTCATCAAGGCCACAAAATAATACAGTGGAGAGCCACTCAACCGGATCAGACTGTGTGTGTGTGTGAGCGCGCATGTGTGTGTGTTGCTGAGCGGGAAGGCCCATTAACATTCATCAGTAGGATAATAGGCCAGCATTAATGTCAGCTGTTTATATGAAGAATAACTCATAAGGCCTTGGTGTATATGGGCTGATAAAGCATGCTTTTCTCTACGCCACATTTGGTAGGGGGTGTGTTTGAGGAGGGGTGCTGAGGGATTTAGAGGCTCCCGGAGTCTCAGATGGAACCATTTGACACTGAAGTGGATTTATTGACTGGTTAGATAAACATAAGACAACTGTCTGATGTAACAACAAGCCAGACAACCTTGTGCTCAGTGTGAATATTTGCAGGCAAAAAACAAAACAAAAAAAAGTGGATAAAACCACAAAAAACTTACACAAATCACTGCCTTTTATGCAGACGCCAGATACAGAGTTATTGCATCCAAAATAAAATCCTGCTGAATGAACAGTTGCTCTCCTGCAAACCTCTCCAGAAGTTTATCACCTCTGGGTTCTCACGGTGACGACAGACCGTACGCTTAATGGCGTCCAACTTCCCCGGAACGTCTTTGGTATTTTAAGCGTAGGAGTCAATGTGTCATTACGGTCGGCCTGACTTTACATTCCTAATTTATAGCAGGCCTGCTCAAATATAAATGCTGCTGCAGCGAGGCACTTTAAGAGCTCGCCAAATGGTGGCGGCTACAACAGAGCTGCTTCACACACAGCGGCCATTAAGCCGAAAGATTTGACGTGAGAAGTGCTTAAAAACTTAGCGTGATTCAATGAGGGCAGTTAAGAAACGATGCTGAAAAACCCACAAACAAAAGTAAAAAGACAGTAATGAGTATGATGCTCTCTCTTAGTGTTCTTTATTTTTACTTTAATCTTTTGTCATAAAGCAGAACAATAAAGTACAGCAGATAAATAATCTATGATAAACAAACAAGCGCTAATTGGTGTGTTTTCCCTAAAACCTTGGCCTATACATATGTGTGTGTGTGTGTGTGTGTGTGTGTGAGAACATTCGTTATCCCTGCCGGTGCTTTAACACAGTTCTTTTTAATTAACCCACGCTGTGTATTTTTATCTGGCTATGCGATGCTGCTGCGTTGCCCTCCCATCAAACAAACAAGAGAAAATATCAAACTGTCATGTGTGGGAGGAGAAGCAACGATCAAGCCTGAGATAGAGCGAGTGAAGGGAAGAAACAACTGGGCGACAAGGTGCCACTACGCCGCGTTACCTCTAATGAGCGGATTTGTGTTTCTTGACTCGTCCTAAGTCTCACAGCTGTCAGATTACAAACAGTCAGGTAGAACTAAGAATTAGCCAGCGTGTGGATCCTTAGACTCCTGCTGAGGCGCTCCCGCTGCTAGTCATCTTATATTTACATGAGGCTGTTGTTGGTGTAACCCCTGCTCTAAAATAATAATCTCATATTTTATATTTATATTTTGCTAACTTGAAACTTTAATCTTGGATTTGGGAGGTTTTAAAACACTTGTTCGTGCGCCCTTTTAGCTCGTGTAATCTTTCTTTTACTAGAGCAGTTTTTACAATGACTAAAATCAGGACGTTTAAGAAGATTAAATGCAGTTAGAATGAAATAAATAAAGCAAGTGGACAGGGGGTTTGGTGCATCAATGCAACAACTCGTACTACTTCAGGCTGTTATATTCACTGTCAAAGGACTAGTTGGATATTTTCCCTTATTCACTCTCTTGCCCAAAACTACAAAAAAAGCAGATAACCCTGTTTTGTAGGTAATATGTCATAAAATACACCTGCCAAAACTCTGTGTGTGCATTAATTAGCTCTGTGTGTAACATTAAGCACCACTTGATGTCTCCAGAGCAGCGTGTCATTAAAACTCTGAATGGCTGTAACAAGTTGTTTCCAACTCAATTTAAGTTATCTTCACGTCACTTGTTTCTCTCTTTCTGTCCACTCTTGTCTGTCCTGTTCTTTGTGAATCTGTCCATTGGAGCAGAGAGGACCCATGTGTAGAAAAAGACGCACAAAGAGTGGAGCAGGACAGACGCAAGTGTAGAAGGAGAGCCTCAAAACGGGAGTAAAGACAGCTGAAAGGACATGACGGCACATATATTAGGTAAACAACATAAATAGTTTGCTTTTGAATTATTGTTTTTGTGGCACCGGCTAAGCGCTGGCTTGCACTTTCACCCTTCCAGTGCAGTGTGAACAATCACTACTGGTCTGTTTATAAGCGCAAACATGAGTTAACATGCAGAGAAACATAGATTACAATACATACAAAGGGACAAACTGTGACTTCATTCTTTGTTAAAAATGGCATCACTCCTCTCTATCTTCACATGGCAGAGAGTTGGTACATTATACGCAACTCTTTCAGACAGAGCCAGACTATAGCGTAAGACAGACAGACCACAGCGACGCATAACCACTACATTCAAGTGGAAAGCTGAATGGAGTACAACCTCGTGAAACAAGTCAACAGCATTATATTCTATCAACTGTTTTTTTCATTTTGACTCATTCGCAAATTGCGTCTGCATTTGCTCTTCTTTCGACCGCTCGATGTTTCACACTTTTTCTTTGCTCTTTAATGTGAAGCCGAGATCGATTAAACACCTCCTACATGAGTCAGAGCAGGTAGCTGTGGTAGTGATGGGCAGAGACTGACACGCAAGCTGGGAAAAAAATCCTCTTCACATGGAGCTCAGCGTGTTCAACACTTCCCAAGGTCATTTCTGCTCTCCCTACAGAGAGCCTCTGTCACTTTTAATAACTTTTAAAGGGAGCATATTTTTTTCTCCTCTGACAGACTGAGGAGTAGAGGGACCAGTCGCGGGGTGAGTCAATCACAAAGTGCCGACAGAGCGAGGAGGTGTGAAGTGAGGAGACAAGCCTGCAATGACTAACAGTGTACACTGTTACTTTATGAAAAGTACTGCCGCACACAACACGAGTATGAAGTCTGATGTCAGCCGCTGAGTCTGTTTCAAGTTGGCTAGGTCAGTGAGCAGTCGCTGTGATCACGGCTCTGTTCTCGCTCGCTATTGTGTTTACCTTTGCTGTTAAACTATGGCAGGACAAGATGAACAGAAAGAATAGTGTGAAACAGATATTCTACAGACAGAATAAGCTACGAAAATCGGGGAAAGTATATTGTCTCATGTTAGTTTAAGGTGCTTTGAAAGAATGTCTCAACCAAACGGCATAATTCACTCGTTATTGCAACTTAATGGGATATATGCGATGGTTCCTGTGGCGCATTGCGACAGGTGTGAGCAGCAACTTTTGTGAGTCAGGATCCCACAGAGCGTCGGGCGTCTTTAGGAGATCAAAATCAGGACCTGTGCTCGACGTTTTTTTGGAATCGCTTGCATGGTATTTGCATTTTCACCAACCTGCAGGAGCAGCATTGTGTCGAAGTCTGCGAGGCTCTTCGTCAACAGGCCTGGGATGAGCTGGCCTTAATGTCAAGAATCATCAGTGGTGGTGGGAGGTAGGTGTATAGCTATTACCCACTGACCAATTGCAATGGAACAGCCTGAAAATGACCTAAACTGTGGCACCATGGGAACTCCACCATGACAACACAACTGCTCACACAGCATTGAAAACAATCGTAGCTCCTCACCCTCGAAGTTCGTCACATTTGGCTCCGTCTGACGTCTTCCTATTTCTCACAATAAAAACCACACTGTCGTTTTTTCAAAGCAGGAATACATTGATGTATTGCCGTTTTGACACAGCGAAGGACATCGAGCGTGCATCGCTGGTGGAGCTTGACATGCTTACAGAACTGTCCCACCACGCTTGGAACTTCCAGAGAGCGTCTAAAGCATGGCTGGAGCGCTGGGAGCAAAGTTTCACTGCGAAAGCCAACAAACTGTATGGCAGCCAAATTTAAATCAGGTTTTACGTGTGCAGACTCTGAACTTTTTGATCACACCTCATGTTGTCAGGGTAACAAGGCCGTCGAGGGGATACGAAAACCATTCCTGCATTCAGATATGCATCTTACAATAACACATTTAAAATTAGCCTCACTGTGTGTATGCCATAAGGATGTATATATATTTTTTGGTACAGTAACAAGAGGTCATGGACTGCTGTGTCTCTGAACACTGTGGCAGCAGCCTACCATTACTAAGTGAGTAGTAGACACTGAAAATGCATTTAATGTTGATCAGCATGTCTTGGCCAGTACTCAACCCACTTACTTAGTTCAGTCTCAATACAAAAATCAATCCAGCATGTCGGATCAGTGCATCCTGTTTCAATTTAGCATATTATTTGAATTTATTTCAGTCGTGTAAGCCTTCTATAAACCACACAAAAGCCATCTGAGCGCATGTTTTTGTGTTATTAGTCTACCACCGTACCTGTTCCTGCCGGTCAAGCCATCTGTCCACCATCGGATGGTTGGCGCTCAACGAAGATCGAGTCATCTCTCTCTGGAACTGAGTGGTCCAGCCACTCGTATCACGGGGAAGACTTCGGTAAGCGTGGGCTCCTCTGCCCTGAGAGGAAACAGGAAGAGGTCGAGAGATTAAAAGCCCTGTGAAACATCGTCTGTACTATCAGAAGAAAAGTTTCCTGACAAAGATCGTATCACTGCCGCCACAAAGAAATGACTCGGCACGTAATCAGCAATCTGAAATCCGACGTAAGCCAACAATACCGAAACTGATCCATTCTCCATATTTTCAGCCTTTAAAGAGGCATTGTTGTTGCCTTGTGCTATCTATAGCGGCTGGATAACAGACATTTTGTGGTAGAAGTTGTTCAGTTTATCTACTTTGTGCCACACACTTCAAGTTGCTCATTCAAGTCTCACTCCATTCCACCCTCACCCCTGACCTTTCCTCACAGCTAAACCTGAGCTGCTAATAATAGGCTTTTTATAATAAGACAGCCACAGCTGAGCTCTTCCATTACACAATAAGCGCCTTCCAAAATGCTCCTGCCAAGGTAATGTCAAACACTAGCAGACTTAAGCAGACTTATTACAATGGCCACGAGCAGCAAACACACCCGGGCACACAAGACTGCGTTTCAGACTCGCTAACCTTGGATTTGGAATTGCAATTGAAGGTCATGAGTGCGGCTATTTGCATGAAAAAGAAAGCAAATAAATAGCGAAAATGAAACTGGAATGATTCAGCAGGACAGAGAAGCCGAGCGATTTAAGGTTCGATGAGTTACAAAAAGACAGCAGCTGAAGAGCGAGGCAGTCAGGAAAAGAAGTTTGGATATCTTTAATGAGACATCACACCGGAGAAGAATGCAGACAAATACTAAAACAGAACAAAAAACTCCCAAGTGGGTTGTTGCAAAACAAGAGATTGAGGATGAAAAGCAGCCAGAAAGATGAGCAGAGACAAAGGAAAACAAGTTATGCTCAGCGAGTCACAAAATAGGACCAAACAATGCAAAAAAAAAAAAGAGAGACAGCAAGATCAGGAGAGAGATTTCTATCCCCTGCATGCTATAATAAGCCATGTGTGTTTTAGTACAGTTGAATGTGGCGTGAAGGGGGCCTGAGGAAGCACTGCAGACAGGACTGTAAAACTCAGCTGGACACGTGGGGTCTACGCTCAGACAGCCCCGATAGCCATCATGGTCTCAGTCACAGCACGACAAAGGACCCCACTCCACAAACTTTTACGACACATCAGGTCGTAAAATGCAGAGAGAGCCAGATAGCAGAGAGGTGGCAGTAAATCAACGGGCTCATATCGACTGCCTAATCCCTTTAGTTGACTGTGCTAAGCGTGGAGAAGCCAGAATATGAAGCATTGTAAAGTCATTGGGAGATGTGATGAGTTTACAGTGCTGGCTGATGACTGAGGACTCCCATTGGCTCAGGCTGAGGAGATTTAGCAGAACTGAGGCCTGACTCAGCCATATCTGGACTCACATGGAACTGAACAGAACATGGCTGGCTGTAAAGGAAATGACTCCAGACAACTGAGAGACCCGAGGTGTACGGTGTGGATCCACGCACTCTGATGTATGGCTCCTTCTCAGAAACAGATATATCATTTCTGACTAACAGATTAAACATCTGTTGTTGATTGCATAAAAATAGACTATATGACAGCTGCATGTATGAAAATAGAACGAGGAGTATGAGGTCTAAGACTCCTTTGTTATCTAAAAAAAAATCTAATGTTCTCCCAGCTGGAAAAAAGAAAACACGACATCCTTCTGATGTTAGCTCATTACTTTTCATAACAAGTGCCAGTAACAAGATGATGACTTAAATGGTTTCTGTTCAGATAACTGATCACCTGCTACAGTCAGGAATCAAACGGGTGATATGTGATGTGTCAAAGGAGCATCATTAAAGGATATTTCTAGTTTATTCCAACAGGACGTATTCCCCTATTGAGGCTCTGTGGGTTGTGCTAAATGTGCGCTCTCCACATCCATTGTAGTGATAAAGGGACAAACCTGTATACTGCATATCCTGTATATCCCTGCATCTTTCTGAAAAGTGTGATTTTTCTTTTTCTATATGAATCATTTTCACCTTTACAGTCCTTTTAAATTCACAGCCCTCCGTCTTTTGGTAAATTGCTCTCAAAGTTTTTACTGCAGGACAATATTAAACCATTTAACTGTACGACTTTGCAACAAAGGCGGCTGCTTTTCTGTGCAACAGCTTTGAATTTAACTCAAATTTGATCAGTTAGAATCTGCCCACAGCTCTGCGCCCATTAGTCTTATTTGAATTACTCAGACCTCCTTATTGCTGAGATGACAAATCTTTTTCCTGGTTTGCATCTGCAGGTATGTGAATACTTCATTTAATAAAAATAATGCCATTTACTTCCGTTAGGCACAAAACACATATTTATTAAGTTAAACAGAATCCCACCATCATGGTTATGATATCGCCAAATTCCAGACAATCCCTTCAACACATTTATGGAAAGATATCTGTACTACCAGTATTTTATCGTGACATACATGCAAAAAATTCATCAGACTAAATGTTTCATTTTCCTTGATATAAGAGCTAATATAAAAATCTGCAGGTATTAGTGCAGGGGTGTCCAATCCTGGTCCTGGAGGGCCACAGTCCTGCATGTTTTACATGTTTCCCTCTTCCAACACACCTGATTCAAATGATCAGGATCGTTATCAGGCTTCTGCAGAGCTTGATGATGAGCTGATCATTTGAATCAGGTGTGTTGGAAGAGGCAAACATCTAAAACATGCAGGACTGTGGCCCTCCAGGACCAGGACTGGACACCCCTGTATTAGTGTATCAAATGATCGATGACCTGAATAAACGCGAGGAAAAGGTTCACAGCTGACAAGTTTCTGGAGTGAAAGACAGAGATGACACGATATAAACCATCCAGTTTTCATTGACTATCACTGCAAGTATAAAGGAACTGGCAGTAAACATTTTGATTACATATTATTGAATCAAAATGGCCAAAACACTTTTGTGTTGGTGGAGTTGGGAGGCTGAGTGTGGTGAAGCTTCTATATGTCTTACCCTCAATTTAGCTTTTAGAGCCCCATTTGACACGTGGATGGAAAATATGTTGAAATAAACCAGAACCGTCCTCAAATTACACTGAGTGATGCTATCTAAAAAGGCATCTGTCGTGTAATGTCACAGTTATTGCCTAGAATCTGTCAATCCTGTTATATATTATATTGAAGCGCTCCTTTTCTCACAGTACACAGGAAGCTGTAATTCCCTGCAGAGGGTTCCCAAAAGTGGAAGCAACTATCAGGCAGACCAGGAGGGCCAAAGACAAGTTCAGGGACAGCATCTATTGACACTCCTGGTTATCTTCTGTTAACATTTTTATTTCAATAAAAGCACACAATCTCCTGGTTTAAGAACTAATATTCTTTCATTGTTTGTCATTGGTCAGCTTCACTGACAAAATGAGAGCTTTAATAAGCATTTCACCCACAACTTTCTCCCACAGCTTCTGCTCAGACTTGCGCTGTTCCATTGTTTGTGCCCTGACAACTAAAGTGTCTTTAAACAGGATTGTCACCTTCCAGACACTAATCACGTGGAGAGTTGCCGTCTCACATTCTGAGCGCTCAGTCATTTCCCCTTTTTGATTGGGAACATACCTCTTTCCCAGCGAGAAGTAAAGGTCTGTCAGCACCTCGTGGGGGCAGCCATTTTGAGAAGTTAATTGGCTTCCCTTCTCTTTTGGAAGCCGCAGGGAGGATGTACCTGAGCTACGTTTTTTCTTTTTTTTATTTTAGGATTTATAATCACAGGCTTAAAAAGCCCCCGAAAGGTGAATTTGGAACAAAGGGAAAGTGTTTAACAATCCCTGCTCGTCTTTGTGGGAGACAAGAAGAGGTCTTATCAGACGGAACTAGTTTAAGATAAAGACTATCTATGCCACTGCTGGATATCTGCAAGCAGGGCAGCACAAGTTTCATATCTAACAGTTATATTCTTTGATTTGGGGTGCAGACGAGCGAGCGAATGTAAATGAGGGAAGGAAGCAGTAAGGAGTTTGAAAAAAAAGCGACTGCTGGAGGTTGGCGGGTTTCAGAGCACATTTCTGATGTTATAATTGATGCAACCCAGTAATCTGCAGCACTGTGGAACAAACTTCTGACCGAGATGCTGTTTGAATCCCTTTCAACTAGTTCACAGCGGTGTCATAAAGAAGGGCAACTCTTACATTTTTACACCTTTTAGACTCACGTAAGTCTTGATGACATGGGTGCGACATCGTTGTCAGTATTAGGAGGTATTTCTCTTGATTGCATTCAAAGCTCAAGTCAGCCTCTCCTTTAGATTAACAGCTGTATTACCACCTGCAGGAAAGTGTTACCTTTCGTTCCAGGCTGCCTGTGCCGCCGCTCGCGTTGGGTTTATGGCTGTACTTCTGGAAACCAGCAGTTGTGGACCAGCGAGCTGGGTTCTTTCTGGACGGTTCCTCTGGACCAGCTGGGACCTCACCTGGAGGAAGGCCGGCCAGGGAGGGATCACTGCTGCGACGGACGTTGAGAGACATGCCTGTGGAGGGGAAAAGCAGAGTAAGAAGGAAGAGTGAGAGCAGTGACATGAGAAGAAAAAGAGGACACACACAAAAAAAAAAAACAAGTTTCAGTAAACTCAAACCACTTGCTGGTTTATCTTCTTATTACAGAGCTCACTTTTCACCACAGTGTACGACTGTGGCTGTGCTCTGTCCCCTACTGTACCTCTTCAACTGCACTATATGAAATGTTAGCTGAGGCAAGGGAAGTGGTTATTATAAGTACCGTTGTTTTCTTTAAAAATGTCTGCTAAGTCCTTAAGAAAACATTGTACACCCTAACTATGGAAAGTTTGGCTTGGCTTAAGTCCGGCTATAGTGAAAGAAATGTACTGTAGCCATACGGCACACACAATCGTAGCTGGAAACTTACCCAGACAGCTATAAAATAAGTAAATATGAGGGAAAAAAATATACATGGGATCATCTAACCCTTTGCTCAGCCTCGCTACTCTAAAAATAATAATTATAAGTGCAGCAAAATTGCTCATACATCATGATCTGGCTCTCCAGATAAGGGTTACTCTTACAAACTGTGCTACCAACTTAAGCTGATTCAGGAATGTTTCCAAGGATTGGAACAAGGTGTCACAACCAACACTGTCCAAGCCATCAAACATCTACAGGAAAACCGTACAGGAAACACTGGGCCGTGTTACAGCTGCCACATCGACCTATCTGCAACGAAAACTTGGTTTCAAGTTCCCACATTTGATTACAGCTGCCAAAACAAGCAGAGGGAGCGAAGTTGCTCCACGATTCACACTACGGCTAAAACATTCAGAGACAAATCCCACTGATGTCTGTAACACAGGGAAACGGTATCCATGAACTGTGGTGTAAATCATCTGGATATTCCCAAAAGGCCATATGGATTTGTTTATGACGTTCTAGCAGCCTGCGCGTTACACCCATAATTATGCAAATAGTTGGGTAACCACCTGTCATCCATCGGCGGATCATTGCAGCGAGCATATGCCGGTGCTAAGCTTCCATCTGATACACCAGAGACATGTCTTAGTGGTGGAGGCAGCGCATTTTAATCACGGCTTACGCTGTGCTGCAAGTCATGCGTATTTAACACTGTGACAAGATTGGGGAGTTTTAAGCACAACAGTAAGTGTTTCTTGCAACCGCCTGCTGGTAGCGAGGAAGCAAGGCGGGCAAATTAAAAGACAGAACCCCCAAAAATAAAGATGAGATCAACATGTGCTTGTTGGTACCTGCGTATGAATTATTCATGAACCAACCAAACAGTAATCTTTTCAGGAAGGATCTTTTTGACTCACATCCTTTCTCCCATGTCAATGATGCAAACTTCCTCTAGTCTGGTCACATCATAAAACATTCCTTCTTCCTCTCTCCAGGCCTAATGTTTATTTAGCAGTGACTTATTTCACTCCCACTATTTAATCCTCTTTAGCATCAAAATGATGTGGTCTCAATTTTACGATCAGGGCTCCAGGGCACTGAACTGTGGTTTTTTTTCTGCTAACTCTTTGCCTGAAAAAGTTGTTGGTTTATGGTAAAACTGAAGCTTATTTTAGTATTCGTACTCACTGAGATAGACTTTGGTTTCTTGCATATCTGTACCATGTGATTGCTGTAATTTTCAAGGTGTACTTTTTACAACTTGATCGTCATCACCGGCTACACAAAGGAGCTTGACGTGTAACGCTCTACTTGGTTTAGGTCTTACATTCACATGAAGGTGCTTGTATGTGGTGCTTTTGTATTCTTATGTGCACAGCAGCTATGCAGAAGGTCCAAGTTGATGCTGGGTCATGACTGGACAGGTCACCAGTCCATCACAGGGCTACACAAAAGAGACACACTCACACCTAAGCACAGGGAGAACATCAAACTTTACACAAAATGACCCCAACCAGCCAATTCAAAGTCCAGCGCTAAGATGTGTCGTGACCTTTATGTAGTAAGGTCAAAAGTAAGGGTAACAGGTTAAAGCAGGTGGAGTATATTACACCTCTTATCTTTTAAGCAGAAGACTGAAGACCATTTATGTCCATGCAGTAAATACTGACCTTTTATTAAGTGTGTTTTAGTTGATTTACCTGGTGTCTTATTCAGAATTTCGTTCTATCAGCTATTTTCTTTCCCCACTTTTAATTATATCTTAACAAAAGAAAATCCAAAATGTAATTTCTTTTTAATTTCTTGCCAGCAACAAGTCCTCCAAATACAAAAACAAAACACATCCTTTGTCCCTGCCCTCAACAGACAGAACGGAGCACCACAGTTGTCTTTAAAAACAGCTACACACTTGAAAAGTGAAAGTATTTGGTTAGGTTTGTTTAGGCTTAAAATTATTACTATGTCAGGTTTATAAAAGTTTTGGCATCTTGATAATGACAAACATGTTTTATCTGCCCTCTTCCCCACTCAGTTACTTAACATCCTCCTTCACAGCCAAAACAATATTAAACCCTGTTTTTGGACACTTGTGAAAATGAGCAAATCTGACATTATTCTCTGAGGGAATGACTTGTTTAGGACACAGAAAAGCAATCAGGAGTCCATTGTCAGGACTCAGTAATATCACAGGAGGGTGGTGTAAATGCAGACTATTATTGCTTGTCATTAAATCTGAGCTGTGCTTTAAAAACATCCATATTGTTGCCAACTTTGCTGGTATTTTATTTTTTATTTTTTTTAAAACCTACCCAGAGTCTCCCAATACAACTTCCAAAGCTGCCGGTATGACTGATGTCAGTGCAGAAATATTTGCACCATTATACATTTTCAGTGGAACAGCTCTGTTGTCACGGTGTGTCCCACAGCCCCTCCTTCCACTCAGAGCAGGGTAGCTCTGGTGGGGAGACTTGATATGCAAATGACTGCATGATGACATCTGGAAACTTCTAGGAACTTTCTCAGCAACCAGAAAGTAGAGTTGATGACAGGCCTTTCAAACTACTTTTCAAAGTAACTCAACTTAATAAAACACTATTTCTCATGAGAGAATCATTGGTGCAAGTGAAGTTCTCATGCAGAAACAGGTAGCTGGTAAAATCACACTTTCTCAACAAAGTTTAATCCAAAATAAGTCCTCCAACACAGACCATGCCAACAAAGCTCACGAGCAGTTCCTAATATAATATGTATTCCTTTGTTGCAAAATGTGTTTCATTTATTTTGGCCGCTGCCCATAGACTTCCTCAAAGGAGGTTGGGAGTCGAATGCAGAAACCACATCTAGAAGCCAGACGGCCAGCCTTCGTGAATTTACTTTTCAATGAGGTTGAAGATTCAATAATGGCATTTAATAAACTTTTGCCCCTTTCAGTAATGGCTGGTTCACGTCCAGTTCAGGGCTCTAATGATATTCACCTCATGTAACAAGGAGACGAGGAACGTTTCCAAGAGAACACTACAAAACCAAAGACGGAAAACTGACACAAGAAGAGGTCAGAGAATGTAGCAATCCGATTCTTAAATCTCTGGATATCTGTATTTTTCCAACAAAGGGATCCTTATTTTACTTTTGTTTTTTTTTATTATGGATTTATTGATAATGTGTTTTTGTGTATCTGTGTGTCTGCGGGCAGGGACTTGCACAAGACACTCGTTATGAATGAGAGGCCTTGATGTATTTCCCAGAATAACTCAAGGCTCAGCCCTTACCGGACATTTCTGAGTCTTTGGAAACCATGACAACATCAATCTTGTTTTATTCAACATGATCACTTCCAGATGCTAACTATGCTCACTGTGGTGGACTAATCAGTATTTGTATCACTTAATAAAAAAAACGTGCTTATCCAACATCTACAACTGATAGAAATTAGAACGCTGTTGATAAGGAGAGCTGGGACAGCCTGCAAATGGTTGACAGTTTCTATAAAAGATGGGCTATTACATCATGTGATGAGGATCTAGAAGATGTCACGGAATTTTGGATTTATAAGACTCTTGATTAGTTTTGCAGTTTTATCAGATATTGTCCCCGCTGGAGATGACGTGTTTTCTTCCAGATAGCAACACAGTTTTAGATATGGACGTGTTTTATATATATTAAAGAGAAAGTACGTCCTTCAACTCAATTCGGATCTGAGCTCACATATGAACTATTAACAATGTTCGGCTTTTTTACAAGGCCAGCGGCATCTGCACATTGACAAGATTCACATTTAGTGAGGTCTTCTCTTTAATGAATGCTGATCCATCTTGGGCACAAATCCTTCCAGATTAATATATGATAAACAAGCGAGTGTATGCTTGTTTATGTGTTCACTGTTAAGAAGGTCACCATATGAAGATTCTCTCCCCTCCCCGTTCTCCCTGACCAATTTTCCTCTACTTAATTTGTGATGGGATTATCCTGGCAGTCCGAAGGGTTTGGTTGGTCCCACGTTTAATAACCAGCACCGCCACTTCAGACTGAGCCAGCAATCGATCCAGGCTGAAGAGGGAGTGAGACCATGAGGGGGGGGGGGGTGGCTAATAAGACGAGGCCCTAATCCAGCCCCTGTAGTGAGGGATTATGGTCGGGGCGCAGGGTCATAGAGATGTACACGCACCACGATTCACCACAGAGAGGTCAGACCCTCCAGGGGCCATTACCTCGTATTGCTTTGTCCTTTATTTATCTTTCACACTCACCTTGTTTGGAGGAGAAATATATTAGCTTGTACGAGTCAGTGTGGACAAAAGCACTGCCATATGCACACAGAAGAAGTCAATATAAAAGTCATTTAGTTTAGTATTAGATTGAAAGATCTCGATCGTATTCTGAATGGCATAAGGTTACCAGAGTTGAATCTGGGTCTACAGTTGGGGCAAAGCTACTGCTTTTCATTATGTTTATGGCTGATTTAGTTTTCACCAATATGAAGTAGAGCATGATTTAACTTTTCATGGCTTACTTTTGCCCAGATATCTAATCTGGGAACAAATGAAGATGATCTGTTTTTTCCAGGTTAAGGTTCCAGTCCAAAGAAATAATTCATACCAGTCTAGCA